GCTGACATTCCTGAGCGGGGATCCCAGAGCACCTTTTAGCACGGGGAGGCAGATGGGATGAGAAATTCTCTGTGGGCCACGTTTCCCGGACTTTTTCTGTGTGCTGGGAAGAAGCAGATGCTGCATTTTTTTTTCTACCCTAGAAAATGTGATACATTATGGAAAGGCAGGGCAATTGAATTTCAAGGGGGAAAGGAGGAAGGGAGGGAGGCTCATTAGAGCTGCGGTGGTAGGAGGGCTTCCTGGAGGGGGTGTTTGAGCTGAGCCTGAAAGCACTAAGCTTTGGGGTCAGACACTGGCTCAGAACTTAGGTTTTTGTTTGTTTGTTTGTTTATTAAGTTTAGTTTGTTTTCTCTTTCCCAGTCCTGTCCTCTCCCTTTTATAGTGGCTGTCCATATTTGGTTCAAAGTGGGGGCACAAAGTACCTTCCCAGAGCCCTCTTCTACCCTCTTACTAAAAGAAATAAGGCAGTGGGATTTGCTGAAATAGGAGAAGGTGTCCACTGGTTGCAGAAATCTGGCTTCTCCCAGGGTTCACTTTGGCCCCAGTGGGAAGCAGGTCAGAATCCCCTGGGGACCAGTGAGGTAGGGTATGATCCTGGGCGCCTGACTTTGGACAAGGGAAGGCTGCTAGGGCAGGAGGTTGCTCAAAACCACTCCCAAGAGACGAGAACAGGTTTGTCTAAAAAGGTTTCCGCGTGGTTGTGTGTGTGTGAGATTCCCATGGTCTTTTGTTTCTGCCATGCAAGAAAAATTGCTTGTTCTGGAAAGTTATTTGCTGTTTCCTCTCTTTCTCTCTTCTCTTTCTTGAAAGGCAGAAAATCCCTTTTTGCCTTAATTATGGGGGCTAGTAGAGACATTTCCCGACGGCCTGGCGGAGTGGGTGGGGCTGGGGGAGGCATTAACTTCCTCCGCCTGGGCTCGGAGCCTTCTGGAGGTGATGTCACTCCTGGCTTGAGCTCCACAGGGAGGGTGGGGCTGGTTTAAGTCTCTACCTGTGGCTCATAGTGGGTTCCAATAAAACCTCATTAACCCAGATTCATGGGGAGAGGGATAAGAAAGGGAGGGAGAGGAGCCTGGAAAGAATTAATGAAAAGCTTGAATTTTGGAGTAGTTTATAGAGGAATCTTTTTTATTGCCGCAGAATTTTGGATTCTGAAGTCTCTTGAGAATGAGGTATCCTTAGTATCCAGTTTTTTTCAGGAAGCTAAGAATCCTTATTACCTTCAAAAATATTCTTACTTTGGGCGGGACTCTGAAATATTTATTTCCCTTCCTTTATTAACAAAAGAGTACTGAGCATAGTTAAATCTCTGGATGCCAGGGTCCTTATAGCTGTCACCATGTTAGGTTATGGCGTTTGTCTCCCGGGTTTATTGAGCTCTGAAGAGCACTTTGCCCCTGGCCTGGTGCCCTTCTGTTGGTGCACTTGGGATTCTGGTTTGCGCTTTTTCCTCTTCCATCCCTGTCTGATAGCAGCCAAAAGTGACATTTGTGGGCCTAAGTATAGCAAGTGGCTTTTCAGTTCAGTTCTAACTGGCACTTTTCTCCAGCAGTACTAAGAAACTAGTCAGATTTGTTAGAATTATTTCTAAGACAAGAGTTTTCAGCGCTGAGTAAGGGTCTCACCTGTGAGCAATGACCTCTGTAGTGTCCTGATAGCACCTAGAATAACAAAGAGGCTGTCAAGGGAGGTGCTTATGGGCTCTCTAGGGGAACAGATGTCAGTGACCTCTGGAGTAAGCACCTGATGATGACCCCATGTTCCAAGTTCTTCCACTTGGCTGAAGTTGTAAATGACTTGCCAGTCATGGGTAGCCTGGACCCAGTAAGGCTACCTCCGTCTAAATCCTGGCTGGCAAGGGCCCTCATTCCTTTCTTTTAAAAAAAATTAATTAAATTAATTTATTTTTGGCTGTGTTGGGTCTTTGTTGCTGCACGCGGGCTTTCTCTAGTTGTGGCGAGCGGAGGCTACTCTTCGTTGCGGTGCGCGGGCTTCTCATTGCAGTGGCTTCTCTTGTTGCGGAACACAGGCTCTGGGCACGCAGGCTTCAGTAGTTGTGGCATGTGGGCTCAGTAGCTGTGGCTCGTGGGCTTTAGAGCGCAGGCTCAGTAGTTGTGGCACACGGGCTTAGTTGCTCCACGGCATGTGGGATCTTCCCGGACCAGGGCTCGAACCCGTGTCCCCTGCATTGGCAGGCGGATTCTCAACCACTGTGAAGGGCCCTCTTTCTTAGCTTGGTCCCTGTCTCTATTTTTCACACTGTGTTTTATTCGGGTGGCAGTGCACGCATACTGTTTGGCTGGCCAGAAACAGCTTTGGGTGAGGTAGAGCCCCCGGTATTGGGTCTCTGCTCCGCCACTAATGTACCACTTAGTCTCAGGCGAGTCACTTCACAGCCAAGTCTTGATGTCCTGTGTAAAGAGAACATCATACCTGTTCTCCTTGTCCTTATTCTGTCATTTGCGTATTCATTTCATAATGAAGGTGTGAAAGTGTTTGGTAATGAAAACGCCAGAGGAAAGTTAGCTGTCAATAGAATTAGGATCACCTTTAACTGAGTGCCTGCTATTGGGTGCTCGATGCTTTTCTTGCATCCCTATTTCATATTTACCCCAGACCTTTACCATGTATGTCATTGTACCCATTTTGTGGAGGAGGCCTGCAGAGGTGAGCCCCTACAAGGGGCCGACGTGGGAGAACCAGGATTTGTACGTACGTGTGTGCATATGTGTATGGCGTGAAGAAATTGAAGGACT